ATTTTATTTTGGTAAAAAAAATTTTAATTCTTTTATTAAAAAAAATTCTTTTTCATCTTTAAACTCGAAAATTCAATCTATTTTTAATTTTTTTGTTAAGTTCTATACATGTAATAAATAACTATAATTTAATTCTTTTACCTTAATAAAAAGTCATTTTTTGATCTTTTACTTTAAAAAAATTTTTAAAATCTATTTATTTTAAAATTTTTATTAAAATAATGTATCATTAGATAAAAACAAACAAACAAACTTATACGGGCAATTGGCTTCACTGTATAATTGGACTTGGCAATAATTCACCACTTCCTCCTGCAGATATGCGTATCTTGTAGTACCATTGCTTTTACGTTCGGTGTATTTTCTTTCCAACGTAAAATTTTGCCTTGGCTTCCGTTGAGTACCATTTTCTTGAGTACGTACTATTTTATTTTGCTCCAGAGATTTGTCTGTGTCATTAGGTCCGCTCCCATCTATGAGCCAGGAAACAATGTACTGTTTTTGTAGCCAAGTGGTGAATCTAGTTTTCTTTTCCAAAAAATTAAAATTTTATCGATATAAAAAATCGGCAAAAGGTGCATATCACCCCCTAAACTCAACAACTGATGGTAAATTACCCCCTCAACCCACTTCACGCGCAAATCAACCCCTCAACTCACATGTAGTGGCAAATCAACCCCTCTGTTAAGGCTGACATCATCATTCCGTTAACTTTTAACCATCTGTTCATCCGCCCCTCCTATGTGTTTGATGTGGCTTTTTTTGCTGAGATGGATGCTGAGATGTCTCTTGGCCCCACCACCACGTCCTCCGCTTCCATAGCACTCTTCAGGTGGGTCCTACATATACCACCACCACCGATTTCGCAGCATCTGCATCTTTCAACAAGAAGAAAGGGAGGTTCTCGTTAATCTCGAACCTTTTCAGGTCCAGATCCGACAAATTGAATTTGGATCCTAGGGTTGATCCTTATTGGGATTCTTAGGAGGAGCCATTGTCGCCTCCGTCCTCCTCTTGGTTCTCAACGATCTTCTCCGGACGCCGGAAAAAGCAACAATCGAGAACGTTCTACATGGACATGGAGGAACTAGCTGTCGGCGAACAGAGATCTTGTAGGGTGGTCAACCGGGGAATGTCGCCTGTTAGGAGTGAGAATACCGAGGACGAGGGCGGTGATCAAGCGACGTATGGGAGCTTGCAAAAGGCGTCACCTCGGTGGCGATGGTGGAGGACACTAGTGGCTTGCCGACGAGGGAAGGCGGCTTGTGAGCAGGGCAGAAATGTGTCCAGATTGGCGTTCTGTATGAGTCCTCTGGTGAGGGCGAGCCCAAACCGGCACTGGAACCAGAAGGGAGGATTTCCGCCAGAGATAGAATTTACCGGCGAGATTCTAGCTCCTGTGAAGCCATGCCTGGCTGCAGCGGTGCCGTTTTGCAAGAATTGATCTAGAAAACTTGCTGATTTTGGCATAGTACATAACAACCGTTGAGAATCGGTGATAAAGATGTGACCGAAAATCCAGTAGGATCAGGACGCGGTGAGGAAGATGATGATGACCGGAAATAATTTAAGAAAAAATTTTATATTATTTTTTAATATAATTTCAGATATTATTTAAAGAATTAATTTTTTATCTGCTTGATCTGATGATTTGGGTTGGTTTGTCCAGGTGGTACCTTCGTCTCAGCATCCATCTCAGCAAAAAAAGCCACATCAAACACGGAGGAGGGGCGGATGAACGGACGGTTAAAAGTTAGCGAAATGATGATGTCAGCCTTAACAGAGGGGTTGATTTGCCACTGCATGTGAGTTGAGGGGTTGATTTGCGCGTGAAGTGGGTTGAGGGGGTGATTTGCCACCAGTGGTTGAGTTGAGGGGGTGATATGCACCTTTTGCCTAAAAAATCATTCAATTGGCTTCACTGTATTATTGGGCTTGGCAATAATTCACCACTACCCTGTAGAAATGCTTATCTTGTAGTACCATTGCTTTTACTTTTAGCTTTTAGCGTATTTTCTTTCAAAAATAAAATTTTGCCT